TCCGCGAGTCGTGTCCGTATTTGTATTCACACTATGGCGCTGCCAAAGCATGTTCCATAGACACAGCCGATTGGCCGTAAATTTGAATATGCAAAACTATTTCAACTATTTGTGTGAAAAAGCTGCATTTTTTACTACTATCTTGATCATTGTGCGTTAACAAATTTAAATAATCAATTCTCCTCGACTAATTACAAACGTATCTATACAGAATGTATGAAAACGTTACAATATGTTAAATTAACGTAACCCATTCCTTAAAATTTTGTGTCAGTATTCATTAATAGGGTCTAATTTTTTTTTAAATAAGGATAGGTATGTGCATACTTTGAACTGTGTAGTAGGCATGGGGAATATGGATACCGATCAGATATCTATATATTGGGGTCTTCTGGACGTTGATAGCGGACTTTGATACCAGGTCGAACATCTATTTTGAAATATGTTAAAAGTCTGTTATCCAATATTATTTTTTGGATAACAGACTTAAAATATTCTTTATTGGATCAGTATATAGATATTGTAACTAAGATATTGCTTTATATTACTCATCCCACTGTGTAGTGCCTTTGGTACAGATACAGGTTGATCTTTTTTTCAGGAATTTTAATATAATTTTTAATTTTTTGTAATATTAATATAATATTTTTCGAGGAAAAAGAATATCTTTTGAGATCCTATTAATGACACTAACACTAGTTAAGGTTTAAGGGTTAAGTTAATTAACATATAGTATATACGTTTTCGTAACAGAATGCAAGAGAAAGAAGACGCTGGATGTTGTCGTCTCACTCTACCTAATCCATATGAATCCATAAACAGATCTAGAGGCGTAGAAACCCTTAATACACTTCCATTTTATAGGGGCGTTAAGTTGTTATGGTTATGGGGTGTACTTAATTAACTTATAAAAAAATAATTACAATATCCCACATAGTGTTTTCTGTTAAATTATCCCCTTTTTTATTTTTTACTTTCTTTTTCTTTACTTTTCCTTTCTTTTTAGTGCATCTTTCGACAAAACACTTTAATCTCGGTACAAGGCACAAGCTGCAATTGACTCTTGATTAATGTTTGCTGTGAATAGGCGGCAGCGACTCCGTTCCTTTTTCTTTGAATTGTCTGCACTTGGCGGTAAAACGTTTAGGGTCGCCATTTTGTTTTTTTTTCCCCGTTGTTACCACGACGTCAATTTCTCATGGAGATAGTCTTGAAGACATTTTTTTCTACAAGATGAGATCGAAATCATAAGCAATCTTTTTACAAATAAGTATGTATTCTACCACCACTGGAATTAAATATTTTTCCCAATACTGGGACGAAAAATGACATAGTTTGAGTTTCCCATATTATATTTGACGACTGGATATGTCGTGTCGTTGACACCTGCTTATGTCTTTACGATATTTCTTCTCAAACAGCACTAGGTATGAAACTTATTGCTACATTTAATTAATTATTATTAAGTGACATTATTATTTTTATTCACAGTTATATAAATCGCGACAAATCATAAAAAGCTATTTTAACTTGTCACAAGCACTCGCTGTTATTTGCTATTAAAAGTGAAATATGAATTATGATTGTTACGATAGAAGCAGTCGAATAGACACTTCAACGCTGTGTGACAATAAAGTCTGTATTTGCCTACTCTGTACGGTCCAGTCGGCCGTCTGCTGCGACTTCATTTTACTGTTAAAATGCTAATCGAGCGCACTCATGAATAAATTCGTACACTGTGATTAACTGCGATTTCATTTAGAGTGATTTGTAGCAGTCTTTATGGAGCGACGTAGCAGTAGTGACGTATAATTCATTTTCACTAGTGATTTTTTAAATATTCTAAGCCTAAATAGCACCCCATCCAATATCGTAAAGGTAAAAACACCATAGATAAAGAAATATACTTTCATATACCTACAATATAACATTTTATTATATATGACTTGTTTAGTAAACAATCTTGGGCTATTATTATCTTTTATTGAAATAACAGTGTCATAAAATAAACAAATAGCTAGAACAGAAAGGTTGTTATATTTGTATATTATGTTTTTATCTGTATTATTTTTAAATTACAAATGTCCAAAATTCAACAAACCAAGATTATTTACAATACGACAAATATAACAAGTATATTCGATTATTTCTTGTAATTATTTATATTTATAATAAGTTTACTATTGTAATGTTTTGGAGGAAACAATGAAGAGTATCTATCTATCTATATTCTGCTTCACAAAAAAAAAAACACGAATGTCCTGCTAACGATCTATTTAAAAAAAAAACCTATACTCAGTGTTACTTGGGATGATGTAAGGACTAACAATACATCCAAATCTGTCTAGATAGGGGGTGAAGGGATTGTTAGTATTGCGTACTACCAGACCCATTAGCAGAATACTCTGTCAGGTAGACCTCCACATGGTCCCCCCTGGGAATCATAGTGCTGAATTCCGGGTGTATACCACGATAAGCTAATGATCTGCCTTTTCATTTTCACCTATCATCCCTTATTGGTGTTTCGCTAACGTATATGTTAATGCAGTTATCATTACATTATCATGCATTAAAAAAATCTATCTAGATATTTATAAGTTATGATGAAACAAAGAAACACAGATAAAGATACAGGACTGTAAAGTCCTTTATCAACTGACTACCATTAGCAAGTTCCCAAATTTGGTTGTTTTTTTTTTTATGGTTGTTACCTCACAACTTCGTCAGTTATATTTATGACATTTAAATAAAAATTACTGTTTATTATTGTTATTTTTTATGTTTTTTATTTAGAGGCTTTTATCCTATAAGGATATATCAGCCTCATACTGTTTATTATGAAATAAATGAAAATAAATATAAACTGATTTGAATTTTTTTTTTAAGATATACTTACATATTAGTGCAATACAAATTTTATCAAAAGCGATCGGTAATTTAATTTTTAAATGAAAGCAACTGATTCATACACAATTGAAGGCGATTTTTATGCAACACAATCTTACATTATTGGACATTTGTAAAAATATACCAAATACAAGTAAAAACAAACAGAATTGTAAAATGTTTGTACAATGTATATTAAATATTCTCTATACAATTGTTTTCGACTTTACAGTCTCTAGTTTTAAGTTCAAATTATAACAACTTTTAATTGACAGTATAATCACATTTTGATATTGACTTTGATCTATTCTTCTGTTATTACAAGTCTCTGTAAATTCTACCCTCACTTTGTTACAACGTACAAAAATGTTAGTTCAAAATGGCCGTCGTTAACTTCAGTAACTGTACTCGTCCAGTTAAAAATTATATTTGCCTATTTTTGTTTAATTACTTTGCTGTAATTACCTAGCCTTTGACTTTACAAAGAGGATTATTTTTATACGGGCGAAAACCTTTGAAATATGAATAATTGCTTAGGCCTATACTTTTAATGGACAATTAAAAAAATAATAAAAGCTAGTTCAGTTTTAAGTTTACAAGTTACGGAGCCTCAGGCAGATAAAATGTTTAATAATTTTCTGAATAATATAAACGTATAAATATAGTAAACGGAGTTGAATCAAAAGACGAAACTGAGATGAATAAAGGAACTTTCTAACAGCAAACAGGGGCAGTAGAGTACGTTTAAATTTATAGAAAAAAATACAATTTAAAAAATGTATTTTATAAGTTATTGCTTTTATTTTATTAGGCGAGTTTAAAAGAACAGGAAGTTATCTGTTATACGATATCTTCGTTGATTCTTTTGATATTTTTGCAATCAATACAGTTTGCTTCCGTGTTGACCCCGTTGTAATTCTGTAATGATTTCCCTCTGTTTTTCTCTGCAAAATTCTTGTACTTTTAGAGTAAAATCAATTTGTAGGCACATAACAATGCATTCTAAATTCAATTATTTTTTACATCTATCATTGTCGGTGAAATATTTCATCAATAATCGGTACCATTTATTATTTTTAAAAATAATAATTGTGAGATTGATTCAATATTAATTTTAATGTAATATCTTACGTGTAACTTGGTCGAGAAAACTCGACTAGTTTCGGGACCATTCGGGACCCTCAGTCTTGAGCATCTATGATACGAGCGACAGCCCGACTGCGCGTCTATGAAGGCTGGGCTTTATAGTCTTAGTATTTCTCAACAAAATTACACGTAAGTTAAACTGGTAATTATTACTTGTTTGGTAATTATTCACATTACTACTTATTTTTTATGTAGCAAAATAAACAACAACAGAAACACAAGTGAGACAGCGATACCCAAGCAGAACGGGGGGAAAGGGATTGTTAGTAATGGAGTTTGACAGTCCGATTGGTAGCAATATGCCCTATTAGGTCGACCTCCACGTGGTTCCCCTTGGAAACCATCGTGAACATATCTTGTTGAATTCGTCACGATGGGCTAACTGACCTACTTCATCTCCTCACCTATCATCCTTCACTGGTGCCCCGTCGGTGTATACCGATAGCGCGGGTGGGGTTACCATTCCATTATCATACATTAAAAAAAAAACCCAAGCAGAACACTACAGTATGGCGTTCTTTAAAAAAAGTGATAAAGCGGTTTCTTCAGAGTCGCGCGCGTATATGGCATTGCAGACGTTTATATACACTTACAATCAGGTGGGCCGTATGCTTGTTTGTCATCTTAGTGGTATAAAAGTTGAAGACTTTCTACAAAGTAATTCTATATATATATACACACACCAGAAGGACACATATATATGTAAGTATATTAGATTATTATAATTAGAAAGTATATATAGGTACATTATAATTATTTCAACTTTAATTACGCCTCTTATTTTCATTCTATTAATTGTCATATCATCAAATAGACACGCCTACTGCAATTTAATAAAAAAAATATAAGAAAATAAACATTTATCACTATGGCCATTACATAATCGTAAAACAATATTATAATTATTGCGTTGCTATAAAACTCATTGTAGATTTAAGTCACCGTGATTAGTTTCACGAGTGGAAACTGCATTAAAGTTGGCATTTCGAATCAGTAATATCGTATCGCCTGCGACAGTCACTCATACAAACCGTACATACATTATGTGAAAAATGATTGCAAGCGAAGATTTTTTCATAAAATTCCTGCGAATTGTATTTTTGTTTTCGTCTGTCGTTACCGTTGGTGAGAAAGCATTTCAGGCCTGCAAGAATTACGCGCAAACCATGTTGGAATGTCATAACATTTTATATCCTTCCGCAAGAGTAAGAGTGCCTATAGACTTTTTATTGTATCCTCATATGGTATTAATTGGATTCCGAAAGAATGACACTGAGCAAGTAGCGTGGAAGTGTGGGGGTACTTTGATTAGTAACAAGTGGGTTTTGACTGCAGCCCATTGCGCTCACGACCCTGCTAGTGGACCTGCAAGTATACTGAGATTGGGTACAGCGACCTTTGAATTTGACGAATTGGAAGAATTAGCTCAGGAAAGGGTTGTAGGTGAAGTGATATCTCATCCTGAGTACAAACCGCCTTCGAAATATAATGATATTGCATTAATGAGTGCTGAACCACCTTTTGTACTGAGTCGAGATATAAGGGTTGCCTGCTTACAGTTAGACGACGAAGTAAAATATAAGAATTTGACAGCGATAGGTTTTGGAGTTACTGCATCTGGTGCTAGGTCAGGTAGTCAAACATTGATGAAAGTGGACGTTGATATTATAGAAAATGCTGTATGTAACAGATCTATGAAATCGATGATTAAAAGAAAAGTATTAGCAAGAGGTATAATACCGGATCAGCTGTGTGCTGGTGATTACGTTCACGGTGGTAGGGACACTTGTCAAGGAGATTCCGGTGGGCCATTACAGTACATGGAGGATAGAGTGGATTGTGTCAACACATTTCCTTTGCACAAAGTTATTGGTGTAACTTCATTTGGTAAAGACTGCGGTAGGAAAATGGCTCCTGGTGTTTATACAAGAGTTTCTAAGTATATAGACTGGATTGAAGGCATTGTTTGGCCATGAATAGGAACTTGATGTTTTTTATTTAAAAAATAATATAACGTTTGTCTAACGGTTTTGAATTTAGAACTACAAAAGATTAAAACTTAACAGCTTATTGTTAATGATTTTTCCGTTTCATAAAACACTCTAAGACAACATGCATTAGATACATGTAGTGACAGAGATGTTAATAATATTTATAAATCCAATGTATAGAATGTTGTCGTAAATATAAATAATAATAATAACAGAAAAATATAAAGAGCATGTGAAACTAAGAAGCTGTCATTAATTAAAAATACCCTAAATGCTTTTTTTTTATTTTACACAATAAAAAAATTAAAAATGTCTTTTTAATTTTTATTTGTATCTATAAAAAAGTCTAACCATAAAATTACAATCCTATTGTTTTACATTAAACTACCGTTTACATATCTATGATAATGTAAAGAGAATAACAAGCATAATAACAGAAATTCCAATTTAATAAAAAAAAAAAAACACCCACACACACATCTAAAAGGCAATACTCTGGATTAAATAAAAACTGTGCCAACTTAAAAGACTTGACGTGTACAAAGACAATACAGATGTAAAGAGGATCTACTCACCACTTTCACGGGAAACAGCCTTCGTAAAAGGATAACGACACTCACCTGAAACAAAAGGCGGTTTTCATAAAAATGTCGCATCACTGTTATGACCGCGGGGGACAGGAAAAAATATATGTAAATATCGCGGCGTAGTGGCAATGTTGCCAGAGACATTTTCGCAGTTCTGGGTGGTCTGGGTAATAAACAATTTGTTTATTATACGAATATAAAAATATCAATTTTTTTATTGTGCCTCCGATTAAACTATTTGTAACTAGCCCCCTCCATCCAAAGGTTGCCTGGAAGATATCGCTTTTAGCGATAAGCTACTCATTGTTTTCTCAGTGTGAACATTTCTTGCAATTGTTTGGATCTATAAAAACTTTACTTTTGTAATCTTTTGGAGGAAACAATAAAAGGTATCTATCTATTATGGAGAATTTTGAACGATTTTCACATATAAACGTACTTGTAAACGTACGGTCAGTACGTTATTACTGAAATGGTAGTACCTAAATAGTACTTAATAAATATCAGACAAACTACTTTCTTACTGCACTGCAAGTACTATGCATACTATGTCAATCCTACCTAGATAACGTAAAGGAAAAAAGACATAGAGAATTCTGAATAACTTTCACTTATAATAAGTGTTTAGAGATTATCAGGGGAAAGTCATGTTTGTTTTTGATAGAAAAATAACTTGTTCAATAATACAAAGCAGTGTTTCTGTAAAAATGAAAAATAAAATTAAAATATTTTCTATTATAGGGAAAAATAAATCATGTGCGGCAACCCTGCGTGGTAGGGCCTGAACAACTTGAATAGTAGCTCGTGTTTGTAGGAGGGCGGAAGAGAGTTTCCGCAACAAAAAATATATATTTTCTTGTATCACGGACTCGTTTTATATGCGCGCTGATGCATTAGTGGCGTGTTATGAAATGCGACCCATATTTTAAGACGGGATTGGCTTTTAAAATGTCTTCGAGCATTTTAATGTTTACATTTCGAATTTTAATATCTTAATATTTTATAACCTGATGTTTTATTATATTGTCTCGTTTCAAACCAACAACATCCTGATAAAGTGTGTCAGAACAAGTGATTCGAATGAAATATCCTGTTATTTTTATATGTCAGACAGACAGTTTTATAATTGTATCATGGAATAAATATTTTCTAAATACAATCTGTAATTTTTCTTATTTATTTCCTACTTATGACGACCACAAAAGTTTGGCACGGCTGAACAGATTTGTATGAAATCTGGTACACGTGTAGGTGATACTCTAACATAAAACAGGATACTTTATATACCGATTTGTGTAGTTTATATTATAAAAATATGTCTGAATGGTTTTAGTGACGTTTGAAGTAAATATAATAATCGGTGTTAAAAAATATAACTTTTTATCTAATATAATAATAAGACCTAATCTTAAGACTGGCAACTTGGATAATAAAAAAAAATTACAATATAAACTGTAACATAATTTAAAAAGCGAATTTCTAAGAAGCTCATTATAAAATTACAGGTGAACTGTATGCTAAGTTGCCACCATCCCAGTATAAAAGAATATACTTAAGTACATATTTTGCTTATCAAGTTTCCAAATTCCATAACATCTGTTATAAACTAATAAGAATCTTAACACGATGACTTTAAAGTTTTGTTTTGCTTAACGATCATTCAGAAATATGTAAAATTGTTTATGTTTGAATTTCGAAAGATAATATAGACTTTGCTGGTGTTACAGCAATTTTACACTTAAGTATACTGTGTAAAGAATGTTATTCATTGGTACATTACATGCTTATATAAATATGATCCTTATAAAGTGCACACCTAACATCAGTTTTAGTTATATCACATAGAATTAGAGTCGTGTTACTCACAACAAGTATTATTTTAGAAAACGAATTAAATACATATATATTACTACACGGAGCAAACGAAGATGTGGCTCACGGTAAGTGACTACCGCCGCCCACGATCACCCACAACACCAACGGCATTGCAGGTGTGCTGCCGGCCTTTTAAAAAGGAATATGCTCTATCATCTCGTATCGGTTCGGAAATACTGCTGTTGAAAGTTGATTCCAAAGAGTGGTTGTGCGTGGAAGAAAGTGGATAAAATGATATATATATATATATATATATATATATATATATAGAGAGAGAGAGAGAACTAATATGAACTAAATTCTTAGTAGATTCAAGTTAAAATTATTATAAATTTAATTTGTGATGGTCCATATATTAGTAATTTCGCAAAATTTTCAAATTAATTTAGATTAAATGATCTTCATCATTTTTCCAGTCATTACCTGTCCACTGCTGAACATAGATACGTATTTATTATACTTGTATATTATATATATCTATCTATTTATACATATATATATATATATATATATATATATATATATATATATATATATATATATATATATATATATATATATTGGACCTATAATACTATTAAATACTAGCTTTATCCTGCGGCTCCGCCCGTATGAATCAACAAATAAAAAATTATATAAGTTAGGATATAACCTACCAGTGTACCAAATTTCTTTGAAATCTGTTCAATAGTATTTGTGTTTTTTTTTTTTTATACAACTCAGAATGGCAAACAAGCTGACGGTCCACCTGATGGAAAGTGGTAACCGTCGCCTATAGACATGAGCAGTACCATGGACATAACATAACAGAGTATACTGTTTCGCCCATGATACCCTCCATGCGTTGACGTTCCTGAGGACTCAGGTGTTATTCCTCTGTACCCAGTAAATTCACGCCATATCCCACCCTTCAAACCGAAACACAGCCATGCAACTGCTTCACGGTTGAAACACGAATGAGACAGAGGTACCCAAGCAATCGACTTTTGTACAAAGTCTCCCTGTGGTAGTATTTGTGTGAAATAGTAATAAACAAATAAAGGGGTGGCCTATTCTACAACGGGACCTACACGGCTAAAGACACAAGTAAAATTAGTAAATCATAATTAAATAATACACTTCCTTTATGCAGCTACATATTAACAGGCGTTGTATGGAAGATGTGTGAATTCTATATTACATCCCTTAAGTTTATGGTTTAAAGTTAATACAACCCTTAAGCCGGAGATTTGGTGGATAAGCGCGAGTACGGAGATCGGGCGTTATCGCAAACTTGTTAACACAGGTATGTGCTTACATTTAAGGGCGTTCATTCACAAATTTAATCACATCTCCATTATGTGTCAATTTATACAAACAATTTTCAACAAAGAACAATTCGTAAAATAAAAAAATAAAAAATTGTAATAGTTACGATGAATGGAACACTCTTTCCATTCCCTTGGGTGTCGTTAGAGGCTACTAAGCGAATTTAATAGTCGAGGGACGGGCTGTAGCGTATTCTTAAAATATCATCAAAGGCCTAAATTGTAGTTGCTAACCTGCTTGTCAAGCATGGCAATTGGCAAAATCCTACTTATGGGGGAGTCTTATGTGCAGCAGTAGACAGTGACCGACGATGTCTCTGAAATGTCGCCAAATTTCAAAATAGAAAACATTGAAAAATCACCTAATTCCAACTTTTCTTATTCTTAAATACAAAATAAAGAAACTCGCACACACACATACTTGAACGTTATAACTACTACTGTTTGTGTAAATGTCGCCATCTAGTATCATAAGTCATGTGACCTAACTAGTTTCGTTAATTTACTTAACTAAATGCTAACAATTAGACCAAATACTGTGTATATTAAAGTACTTCGGCGACGAGGCTTTAATTCCGTTTAGTACCAATAGTTTTCTCGTTAAATAATATTTTCGCTGAACTGTCACTGTTGGTCCTTCGAGCCGGATTGTAGCAAAACCGCGTATTATACTTCATGGAAATCGTAAATGACGTTTACAAGAACTCAATATACAACATATAACAAATATATACTGCATTACTCAATTTTCCTGGAAATGCCCAAAAACCCTGTTAAGGATAGTTACATTAGGTCTCGTGAGGAACTAATGCGAAAATAATCAATTCATGTCATGTGATTAGACACGCAAACTTTGGTATCAGTCAGCCTGAGTCTACTAGGATTTTTGTGTCTGAATAAAAAATTAGACTCATAAGACCATGAAGTTGTGTATATTAGTTTCTATTCTTATGCGTTATTTATTTCCGATCTTCTAGAAGATTATAATATAAATATTCTCATTGTAATAATAATAATAATGACGAGAACCTCGTGAAAGCCGAAACCGAGAAAAAAGAAAATATTTCGACTTGCCTCACGATGTGACCAAAATGTGGGGGGTGACGTCCACCGAGATCATTTCAATCGTTTTGTCGGTGAACGGTCTTATCCCGACCAGTCTGGAACAACATCTCAGACGGTTGGGATTCCGAGGCGGCTCACTCCCGGGAAAGATGCAGAAAGCGGTGCTTTTAGATTCTGCCCGCATTGAACGC